CTAAGACCTTCCGCGTCGGCGCCTTAATAAGGTATTTTGTCGGCCGGCCCGTCTTCTCCCTCTCCTATTATTTCTTCTATCTCTCCTTAATACGCTTACGGGTGTTACGCTTCGCCGCGGAGGCCAGGCGGACAAAGTGTTTCTCCGAACCTGCACCCGCACGATACCAGCAGTTTTTTTTGAAAATGAACCCTACCGACGCGATATACAGCGGAGATAGGGTTCGAGAAAATAAGGCTCCTAATTGCTATTTATCAAATTCTATATTAAGGCGATAAAGATAAAATATAAGGAATAGTAATCGAAAAAAAGGGAGATAGGCGTAATAAGAAATGCATAGGGTCGGGTTAGTCCAAAATATATATGGTCGGGTTGGGTCGGGTTGGTCCAAAATGCATAGGGTTAGGTTGGTCCGAAATGCACAGGGTCGGGTTAGTCCAAAATGCAGGTCTGACCTTATGCATTTTCGACTAAGCCGATCCTATGCATTTCGGACCATATCCCCTTTGGGAATTTCGGACCAAACGCTAACCTCTTTCGGAATTTTGGACTATCCATACCCGCTCAAGGAGAGCAACTTTAAACCCCCCCTATAAAATTCAATAAAATAGATAAAAATATTCTGATTTAATATATAATATCTGAAGCACTTTTACTTGTAGGGAAAAATATAATATAACCTAGTTTCGCTTATATAAGCCTATCGTTTGTGCCGGTTTTTGCCTACTAGATTAAGCCTATTGTCGACTGTAATGAGGTGACTGCCTCCATCCTATTGTCCGAGTCTATAGAGCCTATTATCGACTGCAATAAGGTGACTTCCCCGTTCTATTATTTATTATTCTTATTAGTATACTAAGTATAACTACTAGAAGGCCTTCTTTAAGAAAGTAGTAGGGTTTTAGGGTTATAAAAAGCTTATGTAAACTCCTAGCCTAAGGGTGACTAAGTATCGTACGAGTGGCCAAAGCGCACCCCATTAAAAAAAAGGTCCAAATTTCTAATCCCTATAACTACCTCTTCTTTTAATCGTACGATCTTTAAATTGAAACTGGGTATAAAGCGATCGCTAGTTTAGAACTTTTGAAGTTTTGAGGATTATCCGACCGATATTTTCAACTGGGATGCACTCAAGAAGTCCAACTGGTATGCACTTACTAGCGCCATTTTTCTCCCATAGTAAAGCGGAAACCCTAACTGGTATGCAATGCATCCCACCAACCCCCATGGGATAGAGGATCTATCTCTACCATTATCTCGGTATCTAGCACGAAATCATCTACTAGTAGCACTACCACTTCCACCACCTCCACTTCTGCGGCTATATCCACGGCCACCGGTTTGGTTATTTCCCCGGACGGTACTTATGGTGGGACAACCGGGTACACGTGTGAGCAGTCCGGCTTTAGTGATTATTATAGCATTTGCTGCGACTGGTATATTTGGCCGAGTACTCTTAACCCCCCGATTAAATTATGTTCCAACTTACTTTTATTAGTGGTTCCACCAGCGATTATTATGCTACGTCTAGCTGTGATAACTCCGCGGGAGTCTGCGCAGGCGGTGTTTCCCCCAATAGTCTCTGCGGAGCGAGCAACAACCACTGGACCTGTTTTAATTCGGACTATAGAGACTGCTGTGACACTTATAGTTACTGGTATAAGCATACCCCCCTCGCACTTACGGATTTTTTATACTAACCCACCTGGTCTATAGTGGATCAACCGATGATTACTCTGGAGCCAACTGCGATTCCAGCTACGGCCCCTGCACCGGAACCACTTCGACTAACGGTCTCTGCGGCGCTGATAATAGTGATTATACTTGCTTCGGCTCCGAGTTTGGGTCTTGTTGCAGTATCTATGGATACTGGTAAGTGAATGATCGGGTTAATAACTATTCGAGGCTATACTCCGTACTGACCGAGATAACAGTGGATCCACCGACGAGTACTGTGCATCGGCTATCTGTGATAGTTCTTATGGCGGATGTAATTGAGGGTAAACAAACACTGGAATTGACCCACTGGAGTAGCCTCAAGAGTTCGAACTTCCAAGGTTCAAAAGCTGGTGGCACTGGTGGAGGCCCACTTGAGCACAAAATTACCAGGGTCTTGTAATGTATGGTAATATTAGCTCCACTCTAGGGCTGGATGGTGGATGCCCAGGTGCTTAGTGCTAACCTTGGGATGCTTAGCGATAAGGCCCTGCGGAACAAGTAAGGGTCACACTATTTGGCGAATTTCGCTTAGACAATGATTCTTTACTCTACTCCATAGCGGTTCCCTTTTTTTCAGAGCGCCAAGCTATTTAGGTGCCGGAGTTTCCGCATGAAATCCCGAATATTGAACTAAGCAAAGACTAAATCCACTTGTTTCACCTTGTAAACCTTTTTTTTTTTCATCAGTTCGACGCGCATTCAGTTGGAAGACTCCTTATTCATCTGCCCCTCTAGTCTCTTCCTTTGACTTTTTTTCTACCCAAATTGAATTTCAAAATGGCACAGTCGGCATCAGACGCGTCTTGGCCAGCGGGCATTCCCGAGATCCACCTTCATCCGACAGATTTACCCTCAGATAAGCTCCCGGAAGAAGCTAAGGGATGGCTACTATTCGTAAAGGTAGGGAGTCCTTAGAATACTCTCATATAAGTATTTGTAATATTAACTGGTACATAACTGCAGGAAGAATACCAACCAGTCTTAACCCCAGAAGAGGGGCTACGTCAACGGCGAGCCCTAATTGAGAAATGGGCTACCGCCAGTCAGGAATTCCGCGAGGTGCGTACAGCCAATGCTAAATTCACCTTTCTTCAGGTCTAATTATTATTTGCAGTCTTACCATAGCCGTGCCCCAGCATGTACCTCAGCTCGCGACTACCCGGCTTTATTGCTCTCGCAGCAAGCCCCACGACCTAACAAGAGGTTCCTTTGTCTACCACCAGTAGACTCACAGACTCACCCCCGGAACTACATTTATCTTGTAAAGTTCCTGATTATGATGTATATCCATCAAGATGAATGGAACGGGCAGCATCCCTTTGACCAGGCGGGGCCGGGCCATACACCGCGCAGCCATATCCCAGAGTTTCTCAACCTCGCGACACCTATCGCGCTTAGCGATATCCTCTCTGAGCTGTACCTTTCCTCAGCGGATTTCCACGCTCTCTCGATGACCCAGAGTGGCACGGTAGTGTTCGCCGATGGGCCAGACTACACGTGGTATGTGATCGAAGAGCCGGAGCTTGTCATAGGGCGAATGACGATAGCCGAGTTTGGCTCTGACGGCAGTGTCCGCGATTCGATTGTTCGTCGAGCCTGGAATATGGGTCAGGTAATGGCCTTTGGTCAGAGTTTGGGCCGGCGTGTCGCGGATTTGGAGGAGTCGTGTATTGGGGGCCCGCCGCAGTATAACGAGCCGTAAGTTCTTTTCCATGTGCAGTTTCTAACGTGAATTTTCTAATGGGAATAGATTGAACATGGACCGTCCTATTATTGAGCTCTTGGAGGCAACGAGAATGGACAGCAAGTTTCTCTATAAGGGATTCGGTTATATGGACCTGTGGGTGCGCCTTATTGAGCAGAATGCACCTGGGTATCTGGACCTTGAGGCTCAGGGGCGGGAGGTGGAATTTAAGCTTGACAATCTGCGTAATGTTGGCATTGATACTCTCTAAGGTGATGTCCTGCGGTAGTTGGTCCTGATAGGTATTGTATCTGACCATTCCATCTTCGAGCATTTTATCGAAACAAATACTCCTACCTGCATCTATGTATTAAGGCTCGAGAATTGGCTTGGAGAGCACTGATAAAGAGGACGAGTATAAGGATGTAGAATCAAATATAGGTAAACGCCACAGTCAGAGCAATTTGAATGCTGAATCGAGGATATAGATATCCGGGTACATGTAGCTAATACTACCTAGTATCTATCCCCAACTCTCTAAACTATACCCAAGTGAAAGAAAAAGCCTGTTCGTGGTCCTCGATGGAAGACATGACAATTATGTAGCCTCGCTCTGGTTATGAAAGCGACCTAGCACTAGTAGTACCTAGTAGCAAAATACAGTGATTGTACGGAGAAATAGCACTTGAGAAGGTCAACTGGTATCGCAAGCATTCATCACGCATTTATCCAGATGTCCATAAGCCCGTTACACTGCTTAATTCAGAGATTCTCTCTAATGTTAGGTTGTAAGCATTGTTGATCTTAAGGTCAAATATGTTCCACTCATGAGTTGCACCAGTGAGTGATAGTGGCTGTCCCGGCGTTGCCGCAAAAAAACCTAGACGGAAGCTAAGCCCCGTGGGGAAAGACTGTTGGAGACGTTGTGGCACATATGTTGTAGTGTGACTGTGATCCACACCTTTTGCGCTAGTAAAAGGCCGCGGCCGACTTGGGCCATGGTAAAAGTGGATTTCATCAAGATTGATCCCCATTTCTCAGAAAGTAGTCAGGGACAAAGTAGGTAGAAGCAAGGAAGGCTGGGAGGGCAATAGGATCGGGGTGTGTCCGCTTCTAAATACTCTTAGTGAAAGAAAGGTGGACAGTGGGCCCTTTAATACCCGGGCCCTGACAAGGCAGTGGTAGCCAAGTATCATGTAGTGTACCGCCTTACCAACCCCATCCTACCGAGCAGCAATATCGCTGTCCAGTTATTACCGCTTTCGAATGGCAAGTGAAATTCACTTGGGAGTATTCGGGCGAATCAGCCAAGCCAGCTGGTTGAAGGGCGCCTTGGTTTGTAGTAACCACCGGGCAACGTCGCAGCCTGCAAGGCGGCTCAGCTGACAATTGAGCAATCTGGAAGTGATTGACATTAAAAAGCTCCCAGGAGCCAGCGGCAGCCCAAGGTCCACCAATCACACAAGCATTTTATGTATGCCCTCACTTTCACGGATGACGGAGATGTCTCAGCGCGGCGGCCGAGCTTCTTGAGGCATTTTTGCGGTTGGCTACTGACCAAAAGCGGGTCGAATAAGCGAGTTACTGACTATTCGCAATGGAGCCTGTGTATTCGATGAGGCTAGCTTCTACCAACCAAATACGGCGTACGATCTGATAGACGACCAATCAAAAGAAGCTATCGAGCCTTTGTCGATACCAGAATTCAACCTAGTCATCACCAAGGCTAGTATTGATGAGCCTCTCGATGATCCATTGACGATACGGCCTTTACCGGACGAAACAGACCAATTGTCCGATAACGACACCGAGGAAGATAAAAATGAGGATATAGACTACCAAGACCAAATCCTCGGCGACCTACCGCCTTCCCCGGAGGAATCAGAAGGAGAAGAAGAAGTAAGGCAAAACCAATGCGAAAGTGAGGATAACCTTACTCTAAACGGTACTGAAAACGCACCTTATTCGGGCGGTTTTAGAGTAAATGACCCTTCACTTCATCCTCACTCAGAAGTCGAAAACGCCTCACTTCCCTCTGAACCTTCTTTATTGTCCCGAATCACTATTCCGGCCGAAGACCTTACCCCGGATGCACGTGTTTCCGACCAATCACCTGACTTTATGGTCTTAATTGATAACTCTTCCTATGACGAGGAAATGTTGAATCAATATGACCACCCCAAACGGGACAGATCTCCCTCGCCTGATTCTTCAAATAAGCGGCAAGCCTTCGCTTCCTTCTATAATGCATTCTCTGCGGCAATAAAGGATCAGCCTAAGAAGGTGCATCAAGATAACCTTCTCCCTCCCCCGGAATCATGGGAAGAAATGCTTAATCATCCTTATAAAGCTGAATTCATGTAAGCCGCAGACGTCGAATATCAGAAGCTTAAGAATATGAATGTATGGACTCCCGTGAAGCGAAAGACCATTAAGGAAGACCATAAATCATGCAAAGGGTCTATCAAGCCTCATCGATGCCCTAAGCATCAAATTCTGCCTTTAAGATAGGTATTTACCTATAAAGTGGATGAAAACGGCTATTTATCCAAATATAAGGCTAGAATTTGTGTCCGTGGAGATCTCCAAGTTGACCGCAATGACGAAACTAGGGCTACTACCCTTGCTGCACGAACCCTTCGGACTCTTCTTGCTATTATTGCTGCATTTGACCTTAAAACCATACAATTGGATGCAGTAAATGCCTTCCTAAATAGCATGCTAGACGACCCTGTTTATGTTGCCTTCCCCTAAGGATACGGCCGCAAACACTACGTTCTACGGCTTAACAAAGCCCTATATAGCCTAAGGGTAGCGCCTATCCTATAGCAGCAAGAAGTCCTTCAGAAACTGGCCCAGTTTGGATTCGTGCCTATTCCTAAAGACCCGTGCCTATTTATCTATAAAAATGTCGTTTTAATGATATTTGTGGACGATATCTTAGTCATCTTCCACCGAAGGCACAAACATGAAGCCCATGAGCTTAGGGACAAGCTTATGCAAGCCTATGAAATAAAAGACCTAGGCGAGGCAACGAGGTTTATAGGCATTCGAATCACCCGCGATAGGGCCACGAAAAGGCTATAGATCTCCCAGGATGCCTATATTGAGAAGATTGCGCATCGATTCCATATAACGCCTTTGAAACCGGTTAAAATGCCATTTCCACCCTCGCCGCTCTCCGCTCTACCTTCGGACTACCAGGCTCCCCTAGCTATGATCTATCTCTATCAGCAGAAGATAGGATCATTGCTTTATGCCACAATTATGACACGGCCTGATGCCGTAAAAGCCACACAAATACTTTCGGAACACCTCACTAACCCTACCGAAAAGCATATAGACGCTGCAGACAAAGCCATAGCCTATCTATACTACACTAGATATAAGGCTATAGAGTATTCCCCCGTGCAGTCCGATAATCCTACCTTTGTGTGTGTAAGCGATGCATCCTATGCAGACAATATCGGACGAAAATCATCAGAAGGCTATATAGCCTACCTATTCAATGGTCCGATAGACTGGATTGCATGGAAGCAGAAGACGGTGACGACATCAACGACAGAAGCCGAATTGCTTGCTATTTCATCAGCTAGTAAGTATGTGATATAGTGGAAACGTCTCTTTAGGTCTATTAAACTAGACCTTGACCAGGAAAGGCTTAGTGTCCTTTGTGACAACAAACAGACCGTGGACCTCCTTACTAAGGTCAATTCTTTGTTCCGCACAAAGCTTAGGCATATTGATATCCACCACCATTGGTTACGACAAGAAATAGTGGCCGGAAACATCGATATTGCCTGGATTGAGACCAATTCTATGCCTGCGGACGGTCTAACCAAGCCTTTGCCTTATCAGAAGCACCAGCGGTTTATCGATCATCTAAACATGACCGATATCCAAGACAGTATTGTCGAAATCTAGATCTATGAGACTATGTACGCATAAGTCTAATTCTATGCCTTATTCAGCTTATAAGCTCTGATAAGCTGAAGGGGGTGTATTGGAATATAGACCAATGCTACATAGAAAGATCTATCCTTATATTCAACATATAAGATCAGATATTGAACACGTAACCAGATTTTTCTTCTATCAAAATGATATTTTGACCACTTCTGATTCTGGTCCGCGGCCCTCCCCCGAACGATAGGCGGGACTCTTTTCCTTCAGGCATGAATGGTCCGTTCCTTCGGGGGTGCCTTCGGGCATATCTTGCCTGCGGACTTCGACCATGGTCTTCGGACCTCGGTGAACAGACTTCGACCCTCGGTCCCCTCAAGGATAGGCGGACCACTTTCCCTTAAGGATAAAATGGTCCACCTTTGGGTATGCATAACCTGATACTGCGGGGAAGCTTTCGGGGTGGCTGAAACCATCGATCCTTGACATCATTCTTTTGGCTTTTCTTCGGTTCCCTTCTTTGCCACCTTTATTATGTTGCTGCCTAGTATTTGTATGACATTCTAGACATCATTTCTAGGCTATTCTAGCCTATAAATATGTCCTTCTTTTCTAGCAGAAAGAATCAAGTCAGTTCTACTTTCCTGAAGTCATTTTCCACTTTCTAAAAGTCATCTCTATCTTCTTCCTTTGATCCTCAGGACTGTGGTTCTGTCTTCGTTTAGGCTATATCTGCTTATAGTCTATCCTACGACCTTTGACCTTCTTCCTTTGTCTGGCACCGACTGACCTGGCCGGACTAAGGTTGATCCCACGGACTTAAGGGGCCACGATCTGCTTCGTGGTAGCTTTCCCCTTATGCTCCAACAAATACCTTAATAAATAATAAATAAGATAAGCAGATCTCTTAATAGAGTTTAACTTTAACCTATAATATTATTTAGGTAAGCTAATAATAAGGCTAAATTTACTCTTATATAAAATTAAGATATACCTAAGGGTATCTCTAATAAAAGGCTATTAAATTATTTTTAAATCCTACTTGAAAGAGTCTTAGTTAAGATGAGGTAAATAAATAATAACTAAATATAAGAAGAGCTAGATTTCAAAAGAAATATCTCTTTATTTAAAGAACCGAAGCTATAAGTAAAATAAATAAAAATAAGGAGTTCTAATATAATATGTTAATAAATCTCTTATATCTTACTAAAGAGAGACTATTAAATTATAGCTAAAATAAATATTAAGATAAGCCTATTAAAATATTATTTAGATAATTAAGGGCTACTCTACTTTAGGTAATAAATATAGATCCTAAATAATAAGGCCTTATAGGTATTATTTAGAAAATCTATAATTCCTATATTATAGCATACCCTAAATAAGATATAATATATTTAATATTATCTTAGCGATTCTTTTAGCCTAAAATAGCGAAGAATATATAATAATTCTTACGGAACTATACTATCTATAAATATAGCTTAATATAATATAATATAAAGTACAGGCTATTAAGACTCTTATTAATTCCCTTATAAATCTAGGCTAAGATATTAATAGACTTTATTATTAGCCTATTATTATCTAGACCTAGAAGAGTAATAAGTTATATAGTAATTATAGACTAACTAAGAAGGAGCGTAATCTTTATTAGAATAAGGGATATAATAATAAAAGATATAGTAAAAGTATTCTTTATACACATTTATGTATATTTTAATATCTTATTAGCGATCGTAAGTAATCGCGGCCCTTAGTTTATAAGTATATTTTAGGGAAAAGTATATAAAACATTATTAATTTAATAATAATTATTAATTACCTTTTATCTATAAACTTATAATATAATAGAGCGAGCTAACTAAGAGATTAAATAGATTTTATTTGTCTTTTTTACTTATACATAAAATAATTAGAAGAAGTTTCTATTAATAGTTACTATCGCGATTAATAACCGCGATATAATATTAATAGGGATTGTAAAGGAATACTAAGGCCTAGCGGTGAAGGTTTACCCCGCAGTGTAATAAGCGAGTCTCGGACCCGATTCGTACTTAAAACGAGAGGGTTTCCAGATAACTTGGATTTTAGCAAGAATCAGTCTTGCTTCTTACAATACTACACTCTAGTCCAGACATCCTTCCTTACCTGACCGACAGGCTTTCTACCCTGAACACGTAGATTCTTTACAGGGATCCTCTTTTTTTTTTATAGGTATTATATTAACCCTATTAAGAAGAATAAGTCGAACTAATTACTAAATACTATAATATAGCTAAGAAAAGTAAGCGAAATATTTAAAAATTACCTGCGAGAAGCTACTAACTAAGCCTAAGTCACTATTATTTTAATATAGGTGTTATAAGAGAAGTAGATAAATCGATAACACTAGACTACTCTTATCTATAAGAAAAATAACTAAGTATAGTTAAAGCTTCGGAATATATATATATAATAACTATTAAAGAAGCTAGACTAACTATATATCTAATATAAAGTTATAGATATATTATTACTATATATTATTAAGCTTAATATACTTATAGGTATATACTCAGTCTTCTATATTAAATCAATTAGGCCTATAGTAGCGGACCCTTCTTATTATAAATTAAAATTAATATATAGCCGCCTCTAATTATAGTTAATAGCGAAGACAAGTATAAAGTTAAGAAAATCCTTATTATTTAGTATAAGAAGATTAAATAGGCACACTATAATAAAGCGCTAATATAATAAATAAGACAAATAAAATAAATATAGAAAAATTTAGACTCTATCTAGGATTACGCTATATTAAAAGCCTTCGAGGAACGAAATAGCCCTATTTCGGATATAATACGATATTAAATCGACACTAATATATATAGTATCGCGACCCCCGGGAGGTTTAGGTTAGAGAGGGGGTATTATTATAGGCCTATACCTAATATAGGTTACGTAAACTACGTGACCCTAATATATTAATATAATAACCGTACGGAGGGAACATCCCTTCTTTAAGCTTTTTGTACATGGTTCGTGGCCTAGTTGGATTGAATCTAAGTCTTGCTTCAGCCCTTCACATGTTAGGTATCGATTCGCTTAGTTAGCGCTCCTAAAAGAGTAAAATATATCCTAAATAGGTAAAGCGTAGCTTATATAGGTCCGACGGGACCGTCCGCGGGTGACCCTTAAGGGACCCTCGGAGGGTTAGGGTTAGGGTTAGGGTTGGTAAGGTTAGACCCTAACCCTCGGAGGTACGGGTGGAGGTTCCTGGTCTTAGACCCGCGGGGCGGGTGAGTGCTGTCGGGACAGAAAATACCATGGGTGTTTTACATAGTTATTACGCTTGTTACGGCCCACTTTGGATACTGCCCACTTAGGCGGTGAAGAGTCCGGAGAAATATGCCTAACAGCACTTAGTCTAATAATCATCCTTACCAGTTTCAAGACATACAATATAACTTATTTACAGACCACTTTTAAGCCTCCTAAATAGGACGGTAAAGTACTGAACAGTCTTTCCTTAGTATTATTAGCGAGCGACGCAGGGAGTCGAAGATATCCTACTTTATCGCCGGTGTGAGAATTATCCCGAATAACTCCTAATCTGTAGGTATTAGGGTAGAGTTACTGGAGGGGTCTCTTATAATACTAGCCGACAATTAGCTGTTTAATATCCGAAGGATTATCTACGAAGAAATTAGTATTGCCGTCTCTAGCAGAGCACGATCCTAAAGATAAGGGAGAACAGTTATTGATTAAGGTCACCGAAGATATCTCCCGTGTCATAATCTCTGATCTAGGTCTGCCTTCTAGAAGAGGATCGCTATCGCGGATCTTAAGGCCGACCCGCTAGAGTCTAACCCGTGGCTCGGAATTAGTTTCCGCTTCGTTTCCTATAAAGTAATTATTATCTCGGCTGAACAGTCCTAAAGCGCGAGGTGTTACGGACCCTATTAATATAATAGGGAAGGAACGACCTAGTCCTCCCGTAACGTTACCCCCGGAGCTTTTCCCTTAATACTAACCTCCTTTAAAGTACTCTGACCCTTAATATTCTGAGACTATTCTCTCTAAAGAAGAGATTACTGCTATATACGTTACTTAGTTTTAATAGTTATTATTTGTTAAGAGCCAGACAAAATCGTCTCCTTATAATTTACCTTTAGTTATATCTATAATTATCCCTTATAGTACTTTATTAACTTAACCCTATTAGAGAGTCGGAATAATAATAATTCCTTAGCCTACCTTCTCGGGAAGCCCTAGAGAAGATATTAACTATTTTATTAATAAGTGCGAATTATATTATCTGAATATAGGGCTTAATACGAAGGATTTATCAGAAGCGAATATAGTGGTTCTGCGCGAAGGATACTAAGGTCTAGCCTTAGAATATATTAAATATGTCCCCCGAGCTAATCGCAAGAACTTCGAGGTTCTAGCTAATATCTTATAGTCCACTTTCCCCTTTAAAGAAAAAGAGGCTAACGATAATATAATCCTAAACCAGATAATAAATCTAAAATAGGGTAAGTAGGAAGCTAGAGGACTATACCGAAAGAGGGTCTCCGGCTTAAGTCCTAAGTTAAGTTAGAATTTTAAGCACTACTAGCCGAGTAGTAGGTATCTAGACTATCTAATATATCTATAATTATAGGAATACGAATTATAATATACACTTAGAAGAAAGAAGGTAAGTATAATATTAATAATACTATGAAGCTTATTAAGTACGTATAGGGTAAGGGAATTACTTCGAATAATCCGCTACCTCTTTTAGATAGCGAGAAGCAGGTTTAGGCTATAAATAACTTAGCCTCGGAGATCTCGAAGCTCCCCACTAAGTTCCTTAGACCTTAGGGAACCCGCCTTATTACTGCCCCTATTACCTATCTAAGTCCTTAATATAGTCTGCTAGCCCTTAGAGATAACTCTAT